GGGGGGGTCGAGGGCACAGTTGTGGGAGGGCTTGGGGTTTCACAGGGGGTATGAAACGTCGGGCAAGACGTAGAGGAAGAAGAGGACAAGAAGAACGGTGCTGGAAGATGAGCGGCAGGGGGGTATGAAACGGCGGGCGAGAAAAAGAAGACAAGACGAGAAAGCAGAAGAAGTTGACGAATGGTGGAGGAATGGCAAGCAGGAGGCAAAAAGAGGAAGAACGAGAACAAGACGAGAGGAAGGGCTTGGGGTTTCACAGGGGGTATGAAACGTCGGGCAAGAAGAAGAGGAAGAAGAGGACAAGAGAAGAAGGGTGCTGGAAGATGAGCGGCAGGGGGGTATGAAACAGCGAGCGAGAAAAAGAAGAAGACAAGACGAGAAAGCAGAAGTTGACGAGTGGTGGAGGAATGGCAAGCAGGAGGCAAAAAGAGGAAGAACGAGAACAAGACGAGAGGAAGAAGAAGAAGAAGAAAAAGAAGAAGAAGAAGATGGGTGGTAGAGGATTGTGGGTAGGAAGTGAGAAAGGTGGGCAACATGAGGAAGAAGAAGAAGAAGACGAGAAAAAGAAGATGAGTGGTGGAGGATTGCAGGCACGAGGTCAGAAACCGCAGGCAAGAAGAGGAAGAAGAAGTAGACGGGTGGTGGAGGATGTCCGGCAGGGCTATGTCGACCTGCACATTCCAAGGAATCGAAGTCCTCTCTCTCTCTCTCTCTCTCTCTCTCTCTCACACGCACGCACACACACACACACACACACACACACACACACACTCTCTCTTACCGACGAGCGGCCGATGTCAATGTGGCGGTAGAAATTATGGCGCGCGTAGAGGTGCTGCGGGGTAGCGGCCACAGGGCGCAGCGATAACGACCTTGCCCCGCACGAATGGCAGCCCTCGTTGCCCCGCACGAATGGCAGCCCCCATCAGCATTCGAAAGTTCGAATGCTGGCGGGGGCACTGCCATTCGCGCGTGTTAGATTTTGTGAACGGCACCCCGTCGCAATGATCAATCCTAGCCACTGACCTCAGCAGATCCGTGGCTAAATTCGATCACCGAAAAAAAGGCCGTGGCGCGGCCTACTTTTTTTTTATCAGAAACAAGTGCTACCGGCCTTGGGGGGGTGGCCTGGACCGATTCGGCCTCTCGAGACCCCCCCAGGCATTTTGCGCTGGGACCGCCCGGTGGCCAACCGGGCGGGACAACCGGCCAGGAAGCCCGGCCCCCTCCACGGCATGCGTGTTATATTTTGTGAACGGCACCCCGTCGCAATGATCAATCCTAGCCACTGACCTCGGCAGATCGGTGGCTAAATTCGATCACCGAAAAAAAGGCGCTGGCCCGGCCTACTTTTTTTTTATCAGAAACAAGTGCTACCGGTCTTGGGGGGGTGGCCTGGACCGATTCGGCCTCTCAAGACCCCCCCAGGCATTTTGCGCTGGGACCGCCCGGTGGCCAACCGGGCAGGACAACCGGCCAGGCGGCCCGGCCCCCTCCCCGGGCAACGTCCAAGGCCCTGGGCAGCCCGGCGACCAGCCTAGCAAAAAAACAAAAAGCTCCCTTGTGCTGTGATTGAGGGCAGATACAGAATGCTACAGTGATGACACAGTTACGAGCCACCCCGTAAAATTCGCCCTGACTGGCTGGCAGGGCACTACAACGTCATGAAAACAAAACCAAAACAAAAAACAAAAGGAAACACTTCCCCCCATAGGTGCCAGATACATTAGTCAAAGCACTGGTGTTACGTGCCACCCTCGTGACGGCCTTCCCCGACGTCCTTGCTCTTTGTTTCTTTTCTATTTTTTCTTCTTTTTTTCACTTTTATATCGTCGGCCTCCAAACCTGCCCCGAGCCCCATGTTTTCAGGACTAGGTTACTAGATGGACTTTGCGTTTGCCTGTGAAAGGTACTGGTGGTTTAAGGTGACAGCTGACAGCCCCACAACATTCAGAATGTGGTTATGTTCATCTAGGTATTCAAACTCAGGTCTGTGTTTGAAGAGTTCATCGGTGTACCAACCAAGTTAGGCCCTTTCGAAGAATCCTGAAAGCCTAATTTGAGGCCTATCCTCGACTCTTCAAATACAGGCCTCAGTTTGAATCCCTGCCCTTGTAAACATAAAAAGTGAATGATGGACACGTCTCTGAAGGCTATCCAGACAGACAACATTTCGTATCTTGAGGGGGGATGCAATGGAATGAAAACCCCAGGAAAAGAACAATGGAACTCACGCCTTTGCCATTTGCTCCACAGTGATCAGCCCTCCTGCCTTGTTCAGATGAACAAGCAGCTTGGCAAGCAACTCTCTCTCCACATCGTTCTTCTCAAATGACCTTTCGACCCAGTTGAACACCATTTGTGGATGATAGGCTGGCGCTCTCAACTCCTCCAAACACATGGCAGCCTCCTTCAAATCACGTATGCTGCAAGCAATTAAACACATTCACCATTTATTTACACATAGTTCAGAAAAATGCAGCACAAGATATGCAGGAGGCTTCACTTGACCCTTACTCCACAGCCCAACCAATCACTCTTAGGTTCAAACAGGCCAGCCCAAAGCTGACACCCAGAGTGCCCTTACTTTGACAACCATTTCCCCAATGCTGACATCCAGAATATCAAGGAAGCCGGAACTCTGAAGGAGAACAGGGCATTGCAATACAGACAGAGCAAGAAAACGTCACAAAGGGTAATAGCAGCATACAAATGTGAGTCATAGCACACCTGTAATATTCCTCGACCAGACTTCTGCTCTTTATCACGAGAATGTCCTCCGGCATTTGTTGAGGCGTCTGCGGCCTGGAAGCCGAATGCAAAGCAGAAGGGGGAGTGACAGGACGTTCCCTCCCATACGACACTGGTAAAGATCCTTGTGAGCTGTGAAGGTCACGTGCGTACCCATACGCCGAACTCATGCTGCCATAGCCTCCCCGATCATCTCTCATCCCCCCACCAGGAGTCAGAGGTCGTTCTGCACTTGGTGGCCGATACACATCGCTCGCCGCATTTGGTGGCCGATACACGTCACTCCCTGCTGTTGGCATTCGATACACATCACTGCCTGCACTTGCTGGCCTATAAGCATCACTCCCTGCACTTGGTGGCCGATATACATCACTCCCTGAACTCGATGGGCGGTACACATCACTTCTACCTACCAAAGATTCCCTGCCAGGCTCCGCCCTGCCAAGCATCCCCAGGTCCCTTCCCATCGAATCCCTTCCCAACATCTCCCTACCGCTCATGTGGTCTCTTGCCCCACCCATGTGGTCTCTGACTGCACCAATGTGGTCCCGACTGGCCCCTAAATGGTCCCTCCCAACCCCCATGTGATCTCTACTACTCCCCACACGATCCCTCGCCCCTACATGGTCCCGAACACCGACATGCTCTCTGCCAGTAATGTACTCACGGCTGCCAATGGCATGCTCCCTGGCACCCATGTGGTCTCTGCTTCCCAAATGTTCACGCCCAGGCATCTGCTCATTGATACTGGGGTGATCCCTCACTCCCATGTGATCCCTCACCCCCATTCGCTCTCTAGCCAACATTGCTTCCCTCCCCAGGCTGGAGTCCCTTGCTAGCAATGGCTCTCGTCCAAGCGACATCTCTCTTGCCATCTCTCTCGGCATTTCTCTCGATAACTCTCTTGGCATCTCTCTCGGCATTTCTCTTGATAATTCTCTCGGCATGTCTCGCCCCGGCAATAGAGACTCCCTTTCCCTATCCACCCCCATACCTATCCCTGACATCAATCCCCTAGGGGGTGCAACATCAGCAACAGCGCTGTGGGGCCCTCCAACACCCATTCCTAGCATGCCACTTCCACTCCTGACTCCTGGGGCACCAGCACCTCTAACAGGCATACCTCTGCTAAGTTGGCTCTGAGGAGTAAGTGAAATCGGTCCTTCATCCGCTGGTGACCGAAGAGGCACTTGCGATGCAAATCTATCGTCTGGTCTTCCATCACCAAAGCTCCCCCTAGATGGCAGAGATGTCCTGCAGACTGGTAGTGAAGAGCCTGGACCGAACAAAGGGCCCTGAAGAGAGGAACGTGCCAAGAAATCGGGGGATGACACAGGAGGACCAACTCCAAGCCTTTCCCTTCCTCTAGGTCTGTCCCCCATGGATGCTCTAATCACTGGCCCTCTCAGTGCTTGAGACACTGCTGCTGCCCTCTCATTGACAGCATCCCTGTGCACATCCTCTATCTTCTTAGGGCCATCCACCTTCCTGCGTTCCCTCCACCCATTGTCACGCAACTCTATCACATCCAGCACCATAAACCTTATCCTCGATGACAACTTCTGATTGGTTGTAAGCCTTTCCATCCTCTTGAAATAGCTATCCATGTGCTGATGAGCTTTTGGATGGTCGAGCGTGTGACCAATAGTGGTGAGAAGCTTGCATAAAGACTCGATATCCTCCTCCTCGGAGTTCTCAATATCACCAAGAAGCTTCTTTATGCACTCATGCATGATCTTCTCAGTCAGCATCTGCTTTTTAAACAGCTCCCCTATGAAGCGTATATTTCCCAGCATTCGCCTCCGCGCATTAGTCTTCTTTGCTTCCTTCTCAACATGTGATAGGTTTTCCTCATTCCTCTCCGCATCCGCTTGTTCCCTATCACCCCTCTCAAACTCGTCTTGACATTTGTTTAGCAAGACTCTTTTGAATGTGATCTTATTACTGCCTTCCCCGAACTCTGGCAGATCACCAGCCAGCCTGTGGCAGAACTGGGCATACATTTCACAAAACGTTGGCTCCAGCAGGGCTTTGTCAAAAATCTGTGAGATGACCCCTGTGAGAGTGCTCGAAGAGTCTATGTCAACAGACTTCACCTGTTCAAATAGCTTATCAAAGTTCTGAGGGGTGAGTTTGTTAAGTATACCCTTCACGCGCCTCTGCTTCTTTTCCTCTTCATCCGTCACAGCACCCACAACAAATCGATTCTCTGCCTTGTGAATTGCAGGTAATGCAGCACTGGGTCCAACAGGAGGGGTAACCATAGGTCTCATCATTGTCGAGCGCTTCCAAGAATCTGCATCCACGCCACTCCGAGGAGCAAACATTGCCGGAAAAGGCAAGCCAGGCATTCCTGGAATGATTGGCATCATGCCTGGAACTCCAGGTAGCAAGGAGCTATTGGGAGGCCTGAGACCGCCGGCACCAACCCGCATTGCCACCCCTTGTCCTGGAGGGAATGATGGTGGCCCGAGAACACCACTAGCACTCTGTGGGTCTATCCGAGCATCCTGATGCATGGGTCTCCCTGGAGGAGTACTTGTTCTAGGGCCAGCACTGTCCCTAACCCACTTTTCTTCCGCAACTTTGCCACCTGGCAATGAACCTGAGCTGGGCCGACTGCTGCCGCCAGTTGAAGGTCTCATGTTCGCATCCATCATCTGAAGCGCTAGAGGGTTAGTCAAAAGGTCCCTTGCCACATCCCTACTGATATCCCAGTCAGGTGGCAGGTCGGTCCAAGCATCCCTGAATGTCAGCAGGAAATCCCTTGTATACCTCTTCACGACTTGGCTTCCTAGTGGGATGTCAACGTCCTCGACTTCTATGGGAGGCTTTGTTGAGAGGTCTGCTGCAGTTTCCCAGTCGTCAACTTCCTTTGGCATAGGTGGTTCCAGTGTCACTACCGCAGGAATCGTTGTCGAGGTCTCCTTCCTCGACGCCGGTGTCCCTGGACGTGATCCAGCTCTTGATCCTGGGCGCGAGCTCCCTGAATCGTCAGATGCAACAGGCTTTGTCTTCTCAACATCCTCGGGCGCCCTATATGCATTGTAGATGTCACCGCTTGCCCCTGCCTTGTCTGCCCTTGAGAGCACTTCCTTCAGAGTGTTCTTTCTACTTTTCGGTTTTTTACCTTGAGTGTTGGTATTAGACTCACTGTTGGCATCAGACCTCCCACCAGACGATGGTGGGCGTGGCATCTCTTCTGCCACCTTAACAACACTAGTGGAGCTCATATTGGAGTTGTGCACGTTTCCAGCAAGCCCAACAGCAGAACCGTCATTTTCAACCCCCGAGTTTTCAGTGCCACTCCTGCCAAGACAAGGGTCAAGTCCAGTAGTCTGACGATCAGGGGGTGCCTGTGCTCTCTCAGTCACATCAAATCCAGGGGGGGTACTCCTAGCATTGGCCATCCTCAATAGCGGCAGAGACCTATTTGGAGTCACTGCCAAATCTGACGAATCTAAATGACGCGAACTCTCTTCCTCAGCTCCCTTCTCAACCTTAGGAGCACTGTGCAGCCCTTCCACAGATCCGTTCATGGCTGTTGCCCCCACCTTGGCTCCATCATTTTCACCAGAGATACTGTTTCTGCTTCCACTCCTTTCTTTCTCTTGCCCTGCCGTGCCTGTCACCACCTTGTCAGTGTCCAATGTTACATCAGATAGTGTTGCCACATTCCCATGCGGACTAACCCGGAGCTCACTAGCACACACTCCATTATCCGGGGATGTCGGCAACCTACACGTTTCAGGTGGCACGGACACTGAGGCTGACTTGTCATCTGCTACAAACTCTTGTCTTGGCAGGTGCCCAGAACCATACACAGCATGTGATTGTGGGAAGTCCGAGGTAGTGACAGAGTCTACAGTACCCGTTTCAGTGGTTTGGCACACTCCCTTACTTAGAGGCTTCTCTTGTGCACTTAGGCTGTCCGCACTTGCAACACTCCGAGCTTCTTCTTCCTTTCCACCATTACCATCTTCAGGTGCACCTGTACCGTTGACTTCCAACAATTTCACGTTTTGTGTTGTTGACGCCTGGACAGAAGATTTAACCTGCTGCATATCTGCATCACGAGCCTCCACTGCACCTCTCTTCTGCCTCGATTCATCCACCACTTGACTTGAAGAAGTCCCAGTGGAGTTGACCGTTGTGTCTTTCACAGCAGGCAAACTTTCTTTGTCAGCACTTGCCACTGTCACCGAGTCCCGCTCAGCACCGACTTCCTTTGAGATAACCCCCAAATCCTTTGCTCCTCGGGCCTCCTTCCCTGCTGTCGTGGCCTCCTTTGCAGATCTGGACAGCCATGCAGGCCTGAGAGCAAATGAGGTAGCCCCGGGCAGTTGCGCAGTTTTAAGTACTGCCACCGTGGAGGGGGTATCTTTTTGAGCAGCGAGGGGTGTCCCGCCATCCTTTTCTAGAGGAGCCGCATCCCTCTGATGCATAGTTTCCTTCGGAGGCATTACCTCCTCGGCTGTGGACGCTAAACCACCCTTCTTGAGAGAGGCTGCTGCCACTCTCTCAGAACCCCCCTCAGAACGCACTTTCTCCCGAACAGCTACTTCCTTCTGCCTGCTGTCTGCATTTTCCTGTGCATTGGTACTTTGCTTTTGAGATGCAGAGCCCGTCTTCTGAGACAGTGCACGAGAGTCTTTTTGGGACATAGTCCGAGACTCCTTGTTAATGACAGCCTCCGACTCAGCTTCCTTCTGTGAAGCACGTCCAAACTGTTGTGAAACTGCAGGTGCTGATTCCTTGTGAGAAGTGCTCGATAATTCTTTGTGAGAAGTGCTCTGTTCCTTCTTGCGTTTATCCTTACTGACCAATTTAACCACTGGGGATGTATCCTCACCTGCAACTCCCTTTTGAGTTTTACTCTCAGCAGCAGCTTTACCTGCCATGCCCGTCCCCTCACCTTTACCAGAATGGAGTTCCCCTTTCGTAATCGGCGTCTCCTTTTCCTCTGAATGGAGTTTGGCCTGACCAACCAAAGCACGTCCTTTCTCTTCTGACTTGGCACTTGCTGCTGAAGAAACTTTCTCCTTTGCATCTGCCTTTGAGCCCGTGCTGCTATCACGTCCTTTCTCTTCTGCCTTGGCACTTGCTGCTGAAGAAACTTTCTCCTTTGCATCTGCCTTTGAGCCCGTGCTGCTATCCACTCTTTTCAATTTCTCCTTACCATCTAGCTTTGAGGTCATGCTTGCCTGACCAACCAAAGCACTGCCTTTCTCTTCTGCCTTGGCACTTGCTGCTGAAGAAATTTTCTCCTTCACATCCCCCTTTGATCCCGTGCCTTTCTCTTCTGCCTTGGCATTTGCTGCTGAAGAAACTTTATCCTTCGCATCCCCCTTTGAGCCCGTACTGCTATCCACTCTTTTCAATTTCTCCTTACCATCTGGCTTCGAGGTCATGCTCGCATCCACTCTCTCTTTGACATCTTCTTTTTTCAAAGAAGAACCCGATTTCTCTTTTTTAGCTGAATCCTTCCCCGTGGAACCACTAGGGGAAACCTTCTCGGCACCTCTCACCATCCCACCTCCTCCTTCTCTAGCTGAATCCTTCCCCGCACCTTTACCAGATTGGGGTTCCTCTTTTGTAACCGGCGTCTCCTTTTCCTCTGAATGGGGTCTGGCCTGACCAACCGAAGCACTTCCTTTCTCTTCTGCCTTGGCACTTGCTGCTGAAGAAACTTTTTCCTTCGCATCTGCCTTTGAGCCCGTGCTGCTATCCACTCTTTTCTGTTTCTCCTTACCATCTGGCTTTAAGGTTAAGCTTGTATCCACTCTCTCTTTGGCATCTTCCTTTTTCGACAAAGAACCCGATTTCTCTTTTTTAGTTGAATCCTTCCCCGTGGAACCACTAGGGGAAACCTTCTCAACACCTCTTACCATCCCACCTCCTTCCTCTCTTCCTGTATTTGCTAGGGGAGCCGCGCTTCCACCCACTTCAGAAGCAGAAGTCACTGCAAGCGGTGCTTTAGGAGCTTTCACAGCCACATCTCCTGAACTTTCTCTGCCCTTGATACCACCATCACTTCCCTCGTTCACGTTCCCACAAGTGCCTTTCTCACCATGGTCATCTTTGTCACTACTCTTGCCTGCCGAAACTGTCCTTGCGAGTCCCTTGCCAGCTACAGCATCCTTCCACGATGCAGATGACTTCACAACTGGGGCAGGACTAGCAACCGACTTAGAGTCACTCGCTAGTTTCAGAGTGTCAGCAATCTCATTGCCAACACTACTCTTGCCCATCTTAGCATCTCCTTTGTCTGGATCAGGAACCTGCGGAACACTATCATCACTTGCCTTGGGTGCGATCAGGCCCCTCCCCGGAGAGGGCTCTCTTGATCGCAACCCACCATTCCCGCTACCATCATTCTTCCCCAACGGCCTTGCGGGTGCCCCCAAGTTTGGACTCTCTCTTGAATTAGGTTTCGGCACTGATGTCACCGCAGTCTTTCCAGCAGTCTGTTGTAAGCTAGCACTCTTTATAGGTTTTGACTCAGCTTCTGTCACCCCAGCACCAGCTGGAGATGGGTCTCTACTGCGTCCCCGTGAGCTACGCAATGCTGGACGTGTGCTGCCCGGCCTCAAAGACACGTCCCTCCCCTCCAAGGCAGCTCCCCGGTTAGCATCATATCCCTTCTCTACAGCTGCTTCATGAACAGGTCCTCTCGGCACATGTGGCGATGCTACTGAGGATACACCTGACAAAGGGACTGGAACTGACGTGGATGACTCAGAATCAGCACTCGGTTTCCCAGCTTTCCCTCCACCATCCAGAACTCCACTATTTGCTGCCTGCATTTTCGAATCCAAAACGGGATTGACTGACGAAACTTGCAGAATTCCTCCAGACTTTGCAGTACTAGACGGTACCTTTGGTCCCTGACTTTGAGTTGAAGCGCCTGCGGAATTCTGAATACTAGACGGTACCTTTGGTCCCAGACTAGCAGTTGAAGCACCTGCCGAATTCTGAATCTTCGGGCTAGGACCACCCATCGCCTCAGAAGAGCCCTGTTGAGCTGCCTGCTGCTGCTGATGGGTCTGATGGTTGTCTGTCACACAACAATCTTCATGAGCACGATCTCGTTGATTCTGCTGCACAAGAGGATCCTCAGGAGTAGTTCGAGCCTGAGATGAAGCAGATTTCAACTGATTGGAATGAGACTCGTCCTTCATCCTCTGCTCTTGTGATTGCTGTGTAGTCGATGGCAGTTGCTCGTGGATACCCTGATGTGGCCCTTGCTGCCGCTCTGGGAAGCCCGTCAGCGATTGCTGCTTCTTCAACTGGGAATCGGAGTTTTTCTTTTCATGTGCCTGGCTCTGCATTTCTACCCTCTCTTGATAGTTATCTTGTGATCCTTGTTCATGCAGCACTGCCTGTTCAATTGAGTCCCCTTGTGCATGTTTCTCCACATCTAATGGACTCTTTCCTTGTAGCTGTGTCTGCTCCTTTCTCGCCTTTTTCCCACTCTGATCCTTCGCTCCAACACTTCCACCTGTTTTAGACGTTACTATGGCATGCTCTTCCTTCGATGGCGTCACATCCTTGGGAACCATTACCTGTGGCGGTGCACTCTCGGTCCTCATAGGGACAGTGATCGTGTTGCTTTGCACAGCTACCATAGTGCCACTTGCCCACCCCGGAGCACTGTCACCTTTTGATGCCAAATCTCCAATTGTCTTCAATGGCAATTCTGCTGCCCTCCCAGACTCAGGCCCTGCAGATGATGTTACCCGAGAAGAGATCCCGTCCTGCACCATCTTTGCATTGATGGCCCCACGGCCCCCCTCACCTTCAGATACTTGAGCCCTGGAAACTGGAGAATCCGGGTCGAACTGACCAAATTTCAACCGCGAAACGGAGGCATTTAGGTCCAAGGACGTCTCAGGCACAGTAACTGAGACTGTCACAGCAGGAGCAGATACAGTGAGACCATCTGCCCCTCCTTGCGAGCTCTGGACACTGGCAGCACGGGCCGCTGTGCCTGTAACCCCTTGGTGAACATCAACAGAAGCTGGCTCGCTCTCGGATGCAGAAGAACTCACCGGAATGGGACGGGGTGCATCACCCTTTGGCAAAGCACAAGCCTCCGTAGCAGATATCCCAGAAGATGTGCCACCACTTACACTTTTCACATCAGCAACACCAACTTTTAAGCTTGCCCCAGACGCTGATGATGAAGCAGCTATGTTTCCCTGCTGTGCTACATAGGGAGGAACATTAGCAGACAATGAGGAACTAGCAGATCCCGGCACAGTTGAAGCATTGTAAGAAAACTTTGTAGGCTGTGACACCATAGATGGCGTGCCAACAGGGCCTGTAGAAACAGGAGCTTTCAGAGCTGGAGGTGGAGCAGGTTGCGCTGAATAGAACGCTGCAACATTTGCTGTATATGGTGGACCGGCTGCAGATACACTGTAGTAAGGTGTCTGAGCAGGCATTACTTGTTGCGTCTGACTATATGTCACAAGAGTCCCAGTAGCCCTCTGAGGAGGAACTGCCCCTCCTCGGATCACACCTCCCATAGAGGTTGTGGGCGGGTTGGTAGGAGTCACTTTGTCCACCTTCACCTCTTGGTGAGTGTCAGGATCCACAATCTTCACAGCTCTATTCATCCTTGGAGGCAGCACTGTTGTGGCACTGGGCTGAACTGCACTCGCCGTAATAAATGCTGGAGGTCCCGATACAGACTGGCCAAGCTGAGGTGACACCACTCCACCTATTTGACCGCCCCCTATCTGTCCTGGCATCTGGCCTGTCATTGGCCCCGCAATTGCACCTGTCAGCATCGGAGGTCCATGCTGCCCTGCCCCAATCATTGATCCCTGAGGATGCCCATACTTGATTGCAGTTCCCAATGTAGGCAACTGTGAAGGTCCAAGACCAGGTGGCTGGCCAATTACTTGAGGCCCTAGTACTTGGGTTGGTGAGATGACATGTGCTTGAACCGCACCTTGTGCAGGCACCTGCACAGCCGATGACGTTGTCATTTGCATACCAGGCACATGCATCGTTCCACCTTGGGAATGAGGCGGCTGCAAATGTGACTGCACTTGGACGTGGCTCTGAATGTGCGGTGGAATGTGTGCTTGCCCTGCAGCAGCTGATGTGTGACCCATTGAGTGAGAGTGCATTGGTGCCTGCATGTGAGGCATCCCCTGAGAGATTCCTAACATTTGGGAGGCCTGAGAAGAGGCTTGCCCATGTGATGGACCTTGTACATGCCCCGTCTTATGGGGATGAATCTGCCCATGGCCATGCGGTTGGCTTAAAGCAGGTGCAGCGGACGGTGGCAGAGATGAATGTGCAGCTGAGTGAACCTGCTGCACATGCGCCACCTGAGACTGATGTGGATGGGAGTGAGAAGGGGGGATCGGGTGTGGAGGGGAATGATTGTGCCCGTGGGGATGCATCTTTGTTGCATGATGCTGCTGCGCAAGCGGTGGATGGTGAAGATGCCCCTGCTGATGGTTGAGATGACCCTGCTGATGCTGCTGATGCTGTTGATGCTGTTGATGCTGCGGATGCTGCGGATGCTGCGGATGGTGCTGGTGTTGTTGGTGTTGTTGGTGCTGTTGGTGACCTTGTTGATGTTGCTGATGCCCTGGCTGAGGTCCCGGCTGATGCCCCAATTGATGTCCTGGAAGATGCACAGTCTGATGTTGTTGCTGCTGTTGTTGTTGCTGCTGCTGCTGTTGCTGCTGTTGCTGCTGTTGCTGCTGTTGCTGCTGCTGCTGCTGCTGTTGCTGCTGATGGGGAGGTGGCGGAGCAGGCGGGGGATGAACATGCGAAATAGAATGCATAGATGCGTGGCCATGCGATTGAAGTGGAGAATGGACATTACTCGTCCATGGACCTCCCTGCTGCTGTTGATGACTGTTTGAAGGCTTCGCCAAGTTTAGGTGCGGCTGCAGCTGTGAATGTGAAGAGGGAACACCCTGTGCACCAGGGGAGGAAAGAGGCTGAGCGTGAATCAAGGACGGTGGCTGCTGCTGTTGCTGCTGTTTATGTGGCCCGTGCAGCGATTGAGAAGAAGAATGATGCTGTGAATACCCTGGTGCCTGTGACTGTGAAGGCTGCTGTGAATGTGAAAATGTTAGTGGAGGTGGTGGTGGTTGCTGCTGGGAATGGGGAAACGGAGGCTGTGGAGGTGGGTGTGGATGTGAATGTGTGACGGAGTGCTGCCTTGCTTGCTGATGTTGAGGGTGAGACTGCACATGCACTTGCACCTGCGGCGAAGGTGGTCCCTGCTGCGAGTGTAAATGTGATTGTTGTGGATGTGCCAAATGTGGATGCTGCTGCTGAACGTTGAGCTGCATTGGGTGCAGCTTCGGATGTGAAAAGGATTGTGGGTGTGACTGTGGCACCTGAACATGAGGAGGTGGCTGAGGTCCGAGCGCCGGTGATTGATGTGGCACTTGCTTCGGGGGTTCCATGCTCCTTGGAGACGAGGGTGTCGGTGGTGCATTCACAAGCTGCAAGACTGGCCCTGTGGACGCAGTGGAAGCATTGGTCGCGGGAACACGTTGCGACACAGGAGGCCCACCCTGTGCAGGAACAGACCTTGCTACAGGTTGTGGGGCTGACTGTGGTGCTTGAGATTGGGGGACTGCACCTTGTTGGAAATGTCCTGGTCTCCCACTCAGCCCTGCAGTAGGCCTGCCACCACCACTGCCTCCAACATTGGTGCTCCCCTGCTGTTGGTGTTGATAATGCTGTTGAGCATGCCCTTGTGAAGTGTTCCCTTCGGTATGGCTCTGCACTGGTGGCTGTGACTGCATGATCCCAGGACCCTGTGCTTGCGGTACACCTGGCCTTCCACTGGGGTGGTCCTTCGAGGGGTCCTTCCCACTCCCTGGCTCGCCTCCTGCAGCCACTCCGCCAAATGGTACCTGCAACCAATCAATAGAGTTCGATTAGCACACTAACACACCGAACATCTGTGACATAAGACTATCCCTATCCTTGGAATGAAAGACCAATCCTCGCTCCTCCAACGAACAGCACACTAAACGGTTCCAGAGATGAGGCAGTCCTTCACACTTTACCAGTACCAGGTGATTGACCTTAGCAAACCATGCTTCCCTCCTCCCACCTTCCCATGGCACACTCCTTTCACCACCTCCACATAGTCGCTCGCTACTGAATGTCAATTAGCTTGCACATGATCGAAGGACACTCACACGAAATGCTGCAGGCGCCTTCCCAGGATAGAACCTGTCTCTTATACACATCTAGATGTGTATAAGAGACAGGTGCAAGCTAATTGACATGCACACTCCTTTCACCACCTCCACATAGTCGCTCGCTACTGAATGTCAATTAGCTTGCACATGATCGAAGGACACTCACACGAAATGCTGCAGGCGCCTTCCCAGGATAGAACTGTTCAAACCTTCCCTGCAATGCATCCATGGTGGAAATCATCACAAACAAGAACACATTCAGCACGCCAATCATAATTCTCCATTCCGAGTCGCTCTTGGACTTCCCACATTTTCCATCATCTCACAGTCCCCAAGTCCAGAGCCCGCAAAACACTACGGCTCACGGGTCCGAGCAATCCCCGCAGCTCGTAGGACAGTGCTCCAAAAACTCACCAGACACTTCGCAAGGGTGGGATAAGGGGCAAAGGTGCCGTAAGATGCTCTGCATGCAGTGGGGGCAAGCAAAAGGAACTCTTCGAGCTTGCAAAATACTTTTAGGAGATGGACTTGGACAGTTGGAGAGGGAAGCTGGGGTTCTAATATGTCGCAAGGTGATAGCAGTCGAAGAGATAAAGAGGAGAAGACAAATACTCAAAATGCCATAAACTGGGTGGAAAGAGAAAAGCCTATTCCAGTTGGGAGCTATGTATACAAAATCTTTAATGTTTTAGGCGAGTGGGGAAAGAGCGCCAGAGGGTGTAAGACCATGCTCTGAGCGCAAGTGTTCACCTTGTGGAAAATCAGACAGCAGAGCCCAAGAAGATAATTCAACAGCCAGTACGTTCACAGCATGGTTCCCAAACCTTTTTCTTGGTCAGCTGCCAATCCACTTTTGCTTGATGCGAATGCAGCTGACCCTAACGTGATTCAGTGGGCGACCAATACTTCCATGTTGGGAAGAGGTCGGGCAGACATCGGATAGAAAATGCTGGATGTATCTGGACTGAGAGAAGACCAAACCTGAGAGTCCAAACGTCTGGGGCCACTGGACGAAGACCAGTTCTGAGTGTAGCACTCCTGTGCACAAAAAAAAAAAAAAAAAAAAAAAAAAAACACAGCATGGTGATGTTCATGCCAGGCACTGTGACATCGTAACGGCATCCTTTTATATTTTTTCCTTGTTTTTAGCTATTGGATGTATTTTTCCACATTCTCCTTAACGAATTTGGCGAGCTACGTGCAGGGAGGGGGCTGATACGCTTCTGTTTCAGCCGGAAATTATGAACATTCCACTACCATGATCAGCTCCCGATACATTCAGCATGATGTGCAGTTTTGGCACCAATTTTGCCAGCGCAATCTTAGATAGTTTTATGTACGAGCTCTTTTTTCTTTCTTTTTTCTGGTCCCCGTGTGACCCTGCTGGGGAATACCCTGGTGGGCCCAGCCGTGCAGGGTCCCAGACAGTTCCAACGCACAATACCAAAAAGAAAACGATGTGTAAAAATACAACACAAACAACTTTTGCCAGATGCTCCCCCAGATGGTCCCCTAGAAATTGCTTATTAATTTCATGATAGAAAAACAAAATGAGTAAGATATATGACATACCCCTTTAGACTACTTTACTCATTCTATGTACCCCCCAACCCCCCTGGGTGACCCATCGCCGAGTTGGAAGGTAAGCCATGATTCAGACTGCTCAGGCCAAGTGCAATACTCTCTTGTTTTCCCAGCGGGGGGGGGAGGCGGGGATCCTGCCTCCTTTTTTATCTCCCTGGTTTAGCCTTCCTTGGTCCCTCCTTGAATTCAGGGAGCAGCAAAGCTCTTCAAACCACATAAACCAGAAAATTTGTCTGGGCTGGTGGAGGTGGCTCCAATTCGCCATTATTTTCAAAAATAACCAAATAAAAAAATACTACACGATTTACACATATCGTACGGTTGCAGTAATTCAAGAGACATGTTGACATGTGATCATACTATCAATGATATTGTTGTTGGAAAAAAGCCGAACACATATACTGCCAGGTGATACGTCTCATTTTATTTATGTCTATAGAACTTTTTGACAGCTGGTATCTTTTTCCCTTATTGGGCAGTTTATTTTCATTTTGAAGAGCAACAGAAAAAGGGGGAGCTGATTGGCTGATGCAACGAACATACGGTGAAGTTCGGCGTGAACTAACGGTAGTCAATCCTATATTTTATGCCTCGCAGAAAATGAGAAAAAGAAAGGTTACCTGCTTGCTCATAATAGGACGGATACCTGGGCTACGAACCCGACCACCAGGTCACCTTGGTTGCCTGGACGCCCCAGCCGTACAAGGGTCAGGGAAGTAACCTGCAAAAAAAAAAAAAAAAAAAAAAAAAAAAAAAAAAAAAAAAAAAAAAAAAAAAAAAAAAAAAAAAAAAAACAAACAAACAGAAATCTAAAAAAAAAAAAAAAACTAGGCTATGCAGTAAAATAAACTGAACAACTTTCGCTCCAGGGTCAAATCGAAATTCCTTACCAAATTATAAATAAAAATGAAATAAGTTTTTTTTTATTTTTGCTGTTCTTTTTTTCGGGCCTGGCCACGCAAGTGGGCCCCCGGGTTCCTATGGTAGCCTAGACAGATACTGGATTCTAAGCAACCCCAAAATAGACACGGTACATTTGGCCAGAGGCAAGGTCCAGGGACATCAGTGACATGATGCCGAGATGGAGGGACTTGCATAACTCAGATACAGCACAGGGGGGCCAGAACACTCCAAGGGAGAGATCTGAGAATCGAATATGGTCATGATGGTCAGAAATCGAGCCAAGAACAACGAACAAGGAATGGGTCGTCACCCCAATTTAAACCGCTAGTACACAGCCCCAGCCTTGCGCAGGCATGCCGCCGATAATAAAAAATTGGTGGCCTGCATTACCTACCGGATTCCGACAGGCGCCCCCCGGCCAATGGCGGACGCAGATGTCGAATGGCGTAGCCTAACCTTTCTCATGATTCTTGTTACTTCTTTTGCCCATTTCTTTCTGGGCTATCGACACTCTCCAATCGATCGCGAGGGGAAAACCTAGGCCCTGGACCCAACCACAGGTTGTGAGGTCGTGATGTTGTTTCAAAAGGACAAAGCTCGCAAGTTCGACAATGGAACCTGACAGGAACTCATGAAACTACTGAATTATGGAGCAATCAATGCCGTTTAGAGGTCCTCCAACGGAGTGGAGGGCATGAGAGTGTGTCCATGATGTATGTTAACGACTTGCCAGGACCAGACTGGCGCTCCCGCGAATGGATATGCAACCACAACCATAAGGGCCCACTTTGGGGGGAAAAACAAAAGAAACAGGATGGATACTCATGTTGTTGGATGCATCGTCTCCCTTGTCTAGTCTAGCTTACGGGAAGATGCATCGCGTTCTGAGTGGGCATTCATACCATCAGGATGATGGTAGGAGGGCAAGCAGCTAAAGAGATGGTTGCCTTGCCGGAGGAGGGGTGAAGGGGTCAGACGGTGGTTTAACCCTGGTGGGATGACTGTTTTCCTGAAGCTTCCATACGTTTTCACAACTTTGTTTTTTCTCTCCTCCGTAACTTCCAGCAGCCCGCTCTAGTACTACTGCAGTGGCGTTATTTTAGAATTCTTTACCTGTTCAGCTGTTCATAATCCATTCAGGTGATCTCAGCAGAACCTGGTGACTGTGGGCCCCGTTTCCAGTGAGTGTTGCTCCCCAAGAATCGATTGGACCAATCTATCCTCCATATAATAATACTTAAGAAGAAGCCGCCCCGTAAAAACATCCCACGGGCCCATGAAAAAGAAGTGTCAGGCCGTGTCTCACTCGGTGGGACACGAAGTTCACGTTTTCGCTTTTTGTAGGTCGTGCGAAGTTCTCGCAGCCGCTGTGGGTTCTTAGGCCATGCAGAGTTCGCATTTACGTTTCCGCTGGTTGAGTCTTTTTTTTCAAGTCTGGAAGGGGGCAGATTCATTTCGTTTTGGGTTTGTCACTGTTGGTCTTTTGTTCCATAGGCAAAAGTCGTTCTTCATTTTCTTTCCCGATTTGGCCAGTTCAGACCGTTGCTGCGTTTTGAATTGTCTAGTTTCCGACTTTCCTGTTCCGTGCCACCACTGCGTTGCCCTGTCCGTGCTTCTCCAGATCCCACCGTTTTGTGCGGTTGCTGAGTTATCTGTCATTGGCTCACGCTGCATTCGAGGACCAACGGGGGTGGCCTGATTATGAAGTTAACGGCTGCTCGGTGCAGATGGAAGAAATACATGAAACGTTGGTAAAGACGTGATGAGCTCGAATCATGATGCAATCCCGTCTTTTATCTCGTATAAGGGGAGGAAGAGGGATGGGTTCATCCGCATTCCAGCTACAGCACTATGGGCAAATTTACGTGAGGACTTCTCCAGATGTGTCGGACTGTATTTGAGTGCAATGTGTTCCCTTTTCTGAGCAGTCCTGGGCTATCATCATCACACTGACTGGCCCAAACCAATTCCGAGTTCGGGCATTGACAATAGGAGACCCTGCACATTCTGGAGTTGTTCTTTTCCACGAAGTTATTGGAAGAAAAATCGGCAGACCAGTTCCAATTGAAAATAGAAACGTCAAATGTATCCGACCACAATTACTACTAGACCCGGATGAACTCGGTGTGGGTGTGCCCTCGCCCGTCAATGCCCGCAGGAACGACGACATTTCAGGTCACACAAGGACCAGAGCCGCCCTAAATGTATCTGACAGCAATTATGACGTGCTGCAGAGCACTCTCCTTTCAATTGTGACTGTCATCCCCACACCTCTTTGCGTGCGGCAGCGCCCACGGCCCACCTCCATTCGTCTCTTTTAAAAACAAAAGAAGGATACTCGTGTAGCTCTGGAGCACTAGTCCGGTTGCAACAAAATGTGGTGTAGAATTGCATTTGAGCCTGAATGCTCATCACGCAATGGGATGTTTTTGAGGCATTATAGATTTCCACCTGACCTCGGACTATGGTATGGGGGCATGTCGCCACCACAAGATCTTTGTTTGGGGGAGGGGAATCATTTCGCAATTTGTGAGTGTCATCCTTGCGCAGGGGCCATGCTATCTTTTTCTGTATCGTTCCAAATTTAACGGATGTCCGAAAGGACGCCACCACAAGATCTTTTAACACCATGGAGAACTGGAATGCAGTCAGGGGGGGGTGAGCAACATGCCCTGGGAGTCTCAAAACATAAACACAGACGAGACACAGATCCCTTCCAATAAATATATCCAGGCAAGGATGATTAGAGGAAATGCAGATGCATAATAAAGAGACCGCGGGTCGAATATCAGATAACCAGACAATTTGCCCAGATGTCACAACCGGCACACCATGTCCAGGGGGGAATGAATTTGGCTGTTATGGCCAAGATCAATAGGCTGGACACTTATGCCCAAGAGCACCATCGCACTGATCACTGCACAAGAGAAGTAACCACCAAGGAGATGGCACCTACACTCCATGGCTGTCGAGATGGTTCACACAAGTAGTTTTGGCCGCGCCTAAAGGAAGTGTCAAATGCGGTTGAGTGAGCATGGAGTGCCACAACCATTTGGGCAACAAGGCCGCAGTCGCCTCCCAAGGCATTTGTTTCTTGAAATGAGATCTGTTTGACGACCGCCTCTTTCTGGACATCACGACCTGCACCTACACTCCATGGTTGTCAAGATGGTTCATGCAAGTAGTTTTGGTCGCGCCTAAAGGAAGTGTCAAATGCGGTTGAGCGAGCATGGAGTGCCACAACCATTTGGGCGAGAAGGCCGCAGTCCCCTCCCAGGGCATTCGTTTCTTGAAATGAGATCCGTTTGACGGCCTCCTCTTTCTGGACATCACAACCTGCACCTACACTCCATGGCTGTCGAGATGGTTCATGCAAATAGTTTTGGTTGTGCCTAAAGGAAATGTTAAATGCGGTTGAGTGAGCATAGAGAGCCACAGGCCACAGTTGCCCCCCAGCGCATTTGTTTCTTGGAATGAGACCCATCGGCCCTGACGGCCGCCTCTTTCTGGACATCACGACCTTGGAGCAGGTTTGTTTCGTGGAATGTGATCCGTCAATTCTGACAGCTGCCTCTTTCTAGACGTCCCACGACCTAGGAGAGGGTTGATATGGCTCCATTAAAAAATCACCACATCATGTTTGCCGTGGTGAGGGATACACCTCAGAGAGTCGAGCCCAGACAGCCGTAAGAGATGCGACCATCATATGGCTCTCCACCAGTGCCAACTCCATGTGGGTTTGAATGGATCCTGGCAATTGTACTCATCACGGAGTTCTCAAAAGGACAATTTCCAAACATGGCAGGGGAAGAACAGGTGGTAGATGGCAAGAGAGTTAGGCTGAAGAGGCGCACCAGTGAAGGTTCACGAGGGCTAGGCTGGTTTGGCAACAGCAAAGCATGTCTAGGGATGCACAGAGATGGGAGCGGATCGTTTATGGTCTTGAGGCAAGAAGTTCAGGAGATGGAAAAGGAGATGCCAAAATAAGGAAGAGGGCACGGGAGACGAGACCGATGGAACGGGGGCTAAGAAATGAGGTAGGCAGGACCTCCCGAGATTGGAAAAGACCGGGTGGAGAAGGGGATGTTGGCAAGGCAGCGCACAGGTTGGTGGACTAAACATACGAGAGAACATTCGCATTCTAGAAAGCGGGAGGTATCAACATCACAAATCCCCCAGAGTGGGAAACTCCACTCTAGAAGGTCACAAACTGACAACAGAGGACATTTGAGGTTAGAATAAAAGGAGGCCAAGAGGTCCAAGCGGGGTCAGAGGGACATTGCAGTAGGGTATGGAGGAAGGAGAGGAAGATCAAAACGACATACAGATGGCATCCAGAACAGTATGGTGGCATCTTGCTCAGCCCCAGTCAAGCATTACACATTCTTCAACTCTCTCTCTCGGGCACACGGTGTTGGATGGCATGCCCAGATTTGAAATCGGAGGCAGTGATATTTAAACAGGAAAGGAAGGAGGTAGAGGGCAAGAGAAACCTCACAATGAAGGCCATGCGAGGCCTTCAGAGGAAGTTCTGAGAGCGGACGGAAGGAAGTCCTCCAGGGCTCTTGTTCCCGCATTATTTCATCTAGTTAGGACAAACGAACCAGCCTAATTAGGGCAAACGAGTCTACCACAATGTCTGATTTGTTATCCCAGTCCATTGATAGAGGCACTTCTCCCCTTGCCAGTCGGAAAGAATGTCTGATTTGTTATCCCAGCCCATTGCCCGCTGCACCTATCCCCATGTCGGTCGATGAAGTATAGTTAAGATAGTACTGTCTGCTGAAACACCCGCTGTGAGCTCTCTGGGATGGATTTTGACTAACAGTCCACGATTGGTGCTGTTGACAATTGAAGCTCCACTACCCCCAGAGTCGGTTTGTGTCTCTGCAGAATCTTCAATGTCGTTTGAAGACGAAAGACATCAATGGCAGAACACTGGCAGAGAATGCCGACGTAATCATCAAACTAGCACTCCACCTTCATCAGCTGCATGTTTCCAATGATCCCGAAAAAGACTGCATGGATTGAATTAAAGGTCTGCCACTTCCTAACGACCATGTCCATGACCCTATACGGACAACTACCATCTTCCTCCAAAAATAACGTGTAGTATGGAAGTTTTTTGAAATTCACAGTATTTATTTATTTATTATTATTTATTTATTATTATTTATTTATTATTATTTATTTATTATTATTTATTTATTATTATTTATTTATTTAACACAAGACAACTGATTATTATTCAAAAAACAAGAGGAGGCCAGGAATCTCTCACAAACAACCCTGAAAAGTACTTCGGTCCAGGTGTTGGGAGATGTTCCAGTGACAGAATGGAAACCTCTAGACCGCTGTCCTGATATTCCCAACCCTGACACAGGCCAACACAGCCAAACAATCTGAAAAAGGACCTACAGGCCCCCATAGCACCCACAAACCTGCCACAGGCCCGAGAAGCCAAACAACACAAAATTGAAACCAATCCGCACTACTCTCCACTTGACCCACAAACCTGTCAAAGGCCCGAAAAGCCAAACAATACAAAATTGAAACCAATCCGCACTACTCTCTACTCGACCCACAAACCTGCCACAGGCCCAAAAAGCCAAACAATACAAAACTGAAACCAATCCGCACTACTATCTACTTGTATTACTGCTACTGACCACCTAAAGCCGCGGAGAACCGCATGCACAACCACGAAACTGACAAGCCCTATGCGAACTATCCCTCTGGCAGAATAGACAGATTATAAGGACCGAACGCCCAGGTCCATCCAACACACAAACAACTGCGAAGAAAACAACCACGAATCTAGGATCAACTTACCATTTAAATTGTAGCCAACGAGCCATGAAGACACCAACTTTCTCGAGTCCACAAGATCTATTTGAATAGAACGGTCCGTTGATTTTTGTTTAGATCAAAAGAAAAGCATGTTTTTTTTGTTTTTTTTTTATTATGGTCCGATGGACCACAGATCAGATATTAAACTGATCAGAACAGATACTACACTTGATCTTAGCCAAAAGGCCGAGAAAGGTATTAGAATCAAAAGAAAAGCATGTTGAAATCACAGGGATATGCAAAAAGAATGCACGTATTATAATAGAGTCAATTCTATCATAAATCTACTATACTGGAGGAAACCACCAAACAAAATGCTCTCTTCCAATAGAACAGCATACCACCAGATCAAGCACTCTAATCGGGCATAGCATAGCACATGACCCCTCTCTCTCTCTCTCTCACACACACACACACACACACACACAAACACACACACACACACACAATTTCCACAACAGCCCCTTCTACCCGGATGAGCAGATCCAAAACTAAAACAGGAACATAATGCAGTTTCCTTGTACAGTCCTCTCTCTTTGTAATATTTCCTTTGGCTTTCATTGGGGTGCCCCGTTTATTTCTTCCTGGACATCCCCCTTTATTGTGCCTCCGGTGTACATGTTTTGCCATGTCGAGTGTGGTTGAGCACATGCTGGCTACATCCTCGTGCACAATAACGGGCCACTTTCACGCAGATCTTCAGTTCATATTTTCTGTTCTCTTAAACCACCACTAACTTTCAGGCTGGGAGGCTAAGTCGTAAAAGTAACCTATACCACATTTTTCGCAGCCTGGGCGTCGTTGATAAATTTCATCGGTGGCACCCAGCCTCCGAAATTCGAATTGTGAGGCCCAATGCCGATATACGGGAAAGGTAGCGCTCCTTTACCGATGCTCATTTATACGCATTTAGCGGCGCCACACAAGGGGAAGGAGGAAAAGAAGAAATGTGGGTGTGTTGTCATGTTCGCTGTACACAACTCCACAGAAAACCGACAACAGTGCCAGACTTTTTCGTCAGACTATCACCGCCTCATTGTGTTGTGAATCATCACCACAACAGCCCATTTTCCACCAACTCATTCTATGCGTTTTCAAAAAAGCACAAACTCTCTCTCCCATTCCATCCACAAATGTGTGTGTGACACAGTGGGAGACATACTTCCCTCTAGACACGTACATCCATCCAATGTGCACAAAAATCTGTCAACAAGACATTCAAAAAAAATGCACAGGCATGCATACACATACCAGCTGTGCCCACGCACCTGTTGCTCACTGCGACGAAATTCATCCATGGACGGCGGGGCAGAACTGGTGCGCGCAGGAATCTGGAGCAGAAAAAGCCATATCAACGCAGCGACCTGTGTTTTTAATGAACAGTCGCTAACCCCGCTATATGTCACTTTTGTCTTTTTTTGCACAGAAAAGCACTCCTCCTGAAGTTACTGAGTGATTTTGCCAAGTTCCTTCAACATGCTTTTACGTCAAAAACGTTACGCAGAGGAGAACAGGAACAGCAGCAAGACAGCACCCAAAATTCAAAGGTATAAACTGATTGTCCTCCGTGGGAAGAGGCTGTTCCCCCAGCCCAAAGACGCCCCACCAATCACCAAGGAGCCCGCAAGTAGGCTGGTCTATAGGCAAGTGACACAGTGGGCTGGTCCAAGTAAGTTCCCCCAGCCCATAAGAACTACCTAGTCTAGAAACAACCACATGTCCAACCCGAGTTGCCTACCTCCACAATTGTCAGTCAAGCCCAGCACTCGACCACTGCATCTGCATGGATGTCAGCAAACACATAACACAGACAGGCTCTACAACTTTGGCCACAACGAGAAATGGACTTGACAGGCAAGTGCCACAGTGGGCTGGTCCACATAACGCTCTGAGAATTTCTCCTCCCGAAAAGCATCTTTCGTGGAATATATAGACGGTCTTCTCAGGTGCACTGATATCTACCATAATCGCCATGCACCGATGTCCTGCACCCCCCCAGCCTCCTTTCACCTCCTTGAGAGGACAGAGCCCCGGCGTACATGAAATAGCACGAGAGAATAGAGAGACACGAAAGGTAATGGGTCGATAGCAAGCGAAGGGTTCAAAAAAATATACACAAAACAAACGGAGATAAAATTCAAAACAGGCAAAGAGCTTATACATCAATGCAGCCACCAGTGCTTTAATTGCCATCTGCAATCCTGCACCTGTGGAACGAAACCCCACCGTAAAGTGGAGACATTCCATTCTAGGGTTCTTGTTACAGTAACCTCTAATGGTTCCCAGGTTCATACAGGTCCCAAGTATATACAATCCCACTGTTCACACAGGTCCCAAGGTTCGTACAGGTCCCAAGTACCTACAATCCCAAAGTTTGTAAAGGTCCCAAGTATATACAATCCCACAGTTTGTACAGGTCGAATATTAAAGTAAACCAAAGGATGCAAAAGAGTTCCACCAGTAGCAAACCCATCCCGCGGTTCGTACAGGTCGAATACTACTGTTTTTCTAGCTTCAGTGGCATATAGCACTGTGCAGAACATCAGAACATCTCTTCTACATTCATGATCCCCTAATTTGGATCATGCGTGATAAAAGTCAATCTTCATAGGTCCCAAGTACTATACAATCCTTTGCTTCTGTTGCACAGTACAGTGATATCCCACGGATTTTAAACACCTGGTTCTTCGGGATTTGCCTGGGCCCACAGCAAGCTTGTGCAGAGAATAGGAATGTTATCATGATGGCCTGTCACACTGGACCTGAGAGGAAAGGTGGAAATAAAGGCAAGCTGACAGTCGATCATCTACGATGCTTGTCACGCTTCCTTCGGCCAGACGGAAGAAACCACGAGTTTGTTTCATGATGTAATATTTTATTCTGACTTGCCGGTGGAATAGGAACCGGACTGATGCTCCCCAGAATTGAAATGGAGGCAGGGCAATAAAGACCCGTTTTGCGTATTCAAAAAACATATATATACATATTGTCACATAACTACAAACTAAAAGAGCGCACTTTGCGAAACAAAGAATAAAAACAAAAAACGGGCACATTGCAAGAATAAAAACAAAAACAAAAACAAGAACAAAAAGAAAAAGTAAGGGCAGATTGAAACCATTAAATTTCTCATTCTTCTTTGAACTCCACCTCCACTGTGCCTCTCACGTGCAAGGCTCACCACTTTGATGAAGTTCAGCGCGATCTGCCCCCATCCCCGTATGCCATAACAGCCCACTTGCACGCTGTGAGAGAGGCATGCCAAAGAGCTAGCTCTTCTTTCCCTAAAAGCATCGCTCTGACCCAGTGGATTCTCTACCACGCCGAAGACCACGACTCCATGAAAATGAGAAGGGATTCCAACCATTAAAACACCACTACCTTTCTCAGGGCATATTCACACGGGGACCAAAATTCTCAAAAATTTGAGGCATTTGGTCCCGGTGTGGTCACACGGGCGGACATCGTCCAGAAAGGACGAAGTCGCGACCCTGACACTTATGCATTCAGGGCAAGTGCGCCCAGTCACACGGGGGAGGACCAAACGGAAAGATGGATTGTTTTAATTTTTTTAGGACCAAACGGAAAGATGGATTGTTTTAATTTTTTTTTTCACGCTAGTATAACGCTTGGGCCTTATCTACAACTTAAATGTTCCTGGTCGCACTTTCAGTTGTTTGGCGGGCTGTCTTCATCGTCTGCGATTCTCTTCAATTCGCAAAAACAGAAGGAAAAAAAACGAAAGGTAATTTGAGACCACCTCCGCAGGTGGTCTCAGAAAAGATACACCAGCGGCCCCGCAGGCCGCTGACAGAAGGGTCACCGTTTGAGGCATTTGGGTAGCGAGCCTCTCCAGTGTGACCCAAAAATTGACTCAAAATTTGGGATTTTGGGTCTTTTGGTCCTCGTGTGAGTTTGCCCTCATATGCAAGGCCGCGGCATTCAAATTCAAATTCGGCCGCTACGCGCCGTCGATGAAAAATACCGAAAATTCAAATTCGGCCGCAACGCGCCGTCGATGAAAAATACCGACGGCCACATGGCAGCTATTTTTCAGGAGTAGGCTCCTAGATGGCCACAGCCCACATATGAGAACGGGATTCCAACCATTTAACCACCAGTACCTTTCCCAGCCATTTTTGTGGATTCTCTACATGCCAAAGACCACGAAACATGAAAACGGAAGGGATTCAAATTTCAAACCCTTAAACCACAAGTCTATTCAAATTTCAAACCCTTAAACCACAAGTCTATCCGACACCAGAAATTGGCTTTCCAAGGAGTTAAGGAGTGGGTTTTTAGGGGGGGCGCCGACTGGAAGGCACAGGCCGGTCCAGTGTCGCAATTTTCAAGCGCATACTTCGGCAATTTTTCGTGCTCAGAAGAATTGACAAAAACATCTGAAATTTTGAGACCCTGTAGATCAGGTCGTGATCTTTCCAGGAAAATATCAGAAAAATGAGAAAAAAAATCGCTTAGACCATGAAATGAATGCCTGCCAATTCATCACATTTTCCATTTTTGCAACTCGATAACATGTGGGCTAACGGAAAAAGTACTGCAACTCATGCAATTTTTTGCGCTCAGTAGAATGCCTCAAAAACTCTGAAAATTGGAGGGTTCGTAGATTTGGTCATGATAAAAAAAATTGTTCCTACCGTTAAATAAGCTGTGGCAGCAATTTGTCGTCTTTTCCATTTTCCTCACTCTGCCGGTTCTCCACACTGTGTTACCGGTAGCCCCCATGAACGTGTGCTCCCCCCCAATGAACCTGTGCTACCGGTACCCCAAATTTTCAACTTCGGGTAGAGTGGTGGGTGGTTTAGAGATGGTTTAAACCCCCAAAGTACCAGGGCACCGTTTCACTGGACATCAATCCAGGCGAAGGGGTATCGCATGCAAACCGTTTTACCTGACGAATGCACCAAACAGGGTAGTACCGGTTCCCGCCCAAGGCAGCAGCAACCACACCACATCTCTGGAAAATGGCTGAGAACCGTACTCACGGTTTGACCTGCGGTTTTTCCATTGAAGTCACCAGAAAAAGAGCTGCTGCTTGCGGTTTTACCGTGATTGAGATGCAGCAAAAGTCCATGTCAACAGCAAGCAAGAGGAAAGCATAGGAAATGAACCTAACGAGTCATTCATCTTCCTCACAAACAAAACATCACGATCAGCAGGACGTGGAGAGGATAGAAAACTAATCTTTCTCACAACATTCTTATGCGACCTACAGCTCAAACATGGGCGGAGAGTGATCCCTGGTCGTAGGCAAATCGCTGACAAGATGGAAGTTCTAACCGGTTTTCATGGAGTCATGGGGCCACCCATCCTCCTCGCCGGGAGAGGGGAGACTGGACCATCGACCTGTGGCGCCACCAAATGTCCTCATCCTCAGCACAGAACTTCACACCTTCCCACATTTTGTCCCCAGGAGTGACTCCGGAAAGATAACAGGGAAAAAACAGAAACACTAAAACAGAACGAGGCACAACGTTGAGCAACGGCCAGCGGCCGTCTCTCCTCGTTCCATTTCTGACCCCCGATATATCCCAACAGGAAAGAAGTCGTTTCCTTGCCCGATAGAAGATAGTGCTTAGACTGGCCCCCGATATATCCCAACAGGGAGAGCGGCAACACGTTAAGATTCCTTTACGCAGTGCTCATATACCAAACGAGCACATCGAGGTTTCATTGTCATAGGTCTCTACAGGAACTACTAGTACCTGCCTCCCGGCAAAGACGGGCCTAGAAGACGAGTGAATTCCCAAATGATCCCATTCGTAGTGGCACTGACAGACAACAGACAGGAAGACAAGAGGTTGGAGAAGGACATCCCATCCCCGCCGGCTAGAACCTGAAGAGGTGTTGATGAAGCTGAGGATGAAAACGCAACAACAGCATCCTTCAGGAGCTCGGTATGGGTAGAGACAGAGAGCATGGACCCATGGATCGAAATCCATTATCGTTCTCTTAAGTACGGCGGCCATGCCTATGACAGCCGCCTGCCCTTTGGAGCACAAAGCCCGCCTACACTACAACAGTGAGAGGCATAGGTCCTGAGAGGAACACCAACTGATAGGGAACTGGCTACAGTGACAGGGATGACAGGAACAAGGGCAGCAAAAACGACAATGACGAGACGGAGGAAAGGAACACGATGATGACACAGGTAGCAAAAAAAAGGTTCATTCCAACGGGCCTAACCCAACTCGCCAACTCGTACAGCCATGAGCTGATGAAAAACAGACCCGAGTTCAAATCCAGATGGAACTAGATGAATCAAATACCTGAATTTTACCTAGGCCGGGTCAGCTCGGCGGTGGTATCTCCACGCCGTCGCCCTTTCCGGAAGAAAAAAAAACAACAATGACATGGACGAAGGAATCAGGGATAAAAAACAAGAGGGTGCTAAGAGGAAAGGGGATACGGAAACGGATGATGACTGGAGAACTTGTCTGCACGTGAAAACTCACTCTGGACGGCTAAAAACGATGCGATCAATCCTTCACCACCTGTGGGTCCGTGCCGAGTATCATGAAAATCAAGCGCGACGCACTATTATACGTTTTCCTCACCTTAAACCAGACCCTCCTAAGAACATCATGGCTCCCTTTTCGCGTCCTTTTCACGACCACTATCCTCCTAAAACCAGACCCTCCTAAGAATATGGCCACTCTCTCCTACAATCCAACATGAATAGCACTCGCCTTATGTTAATCCCACCTCCCTCCGATGAGATATCAACTACTGGTCACAACCGACACGATCTCAAAGAACACAATCTCAACGAACAAGTAGAAGAAGAGTGCCCACGCCCCTCCGATGGCGGAGATTGCCTAAACTCTACCGTTTGATTACCATTTCAGAACAAGCAGAAGCAGATTGCCGTGTCATCTCCATTCTGCCTCACCAACTACACTAACCTTCCAAAGATAATAGAGCAGACACAGCAGAAGCATTGAAGGGAAAAGAAACCGGGGGAAACCCAAAAGCATATGCTTCCGTTAGGACTGGCAAAGAGTTATCGTTGCTGGGACGAGATGGCCTACCCTGACAAGTGAAAACGGTGGGTCATAGGGTGCCACGTGCTGGTGCACGAACTGCCACGCGACGTGCATAGATTGCTGTCGTGCACAAGCGATTGTTCTCCAACGAGCCTGGTCTTACGAGTAATTCAAACACTACAATAGGCATGAATCAATTTCTACGATTAGGCCCATAAGCATACCCAAGTGTGCTCCCCTAATCCAGGGCTCTGTAGCTAGAACCCCCCTGCTTCAGCCATCACATGCGATGTTTAGTGGCCTAGGCCAAGGTCTAACCTATGAGAGCCCTACTTTTTAAGTGCTATCCCTTCCACATAGCACAAGTATATTCAGTATCCTATTCTTCTGCTGCCAGGAAGGAGCGGACAAAAGACCACTCACAATAAAGGATGGGTGGCTGATGCCACTTTGTCGCGCCAAGTGCCAGTCACTGCACGCACTCTATAAAAGAAAACTATAAAGGTGCCAAGTCCTCCTGCCAAGCGGCACTACATTGCCCGTATGCTTTCCTAAAGAGGATTGGAAAAAGGAAAGACGGATCTAACCTAGTTATGCGCTGTATTCCGAGACCAGCAACCACTCTTGAGAAGCTAGAGTTGTAACCTTATGTCGTTTCCGGCTAAGGAAAAGTCTCAGGTAGACAGTTTCTATGGGGCGTACGCCTCCCAAAGGGTAACGGAGGCGTGCAAAGGTTCCCTCAGGCTCGACGGAAATCAGCCCTCCTATCCTGCCAGTTATGCGCTGTATTCCGAGACCAGCACCTCCTATCCTGCAGACGAACCGGACTACTCTCCATAAGCTTTCCTAATAGGCAGGACCTCCCGACGTTAGGTGAAAACCCCACTGCTAACCAATAGTTACAGAACACAGTTCTCTTCTGATCCACCTGCTATTAACGACTGCATTCGCTTTTCTCTCCTTCGATTAGGTGCAAACCATTGCTCTTGCGTCCAACATAGAATGCGGGCCAGGTGCATACACGAACGCAATAACGCACATGCACATACTCTGCATCCCCGTGCCTCCGAGCTTTGAAGGCTCTCCAGAGATACGAGGTTGCATCGGATTCCATCAAGAACGTCCCCATTACTACAGAACGCCATGCCACCAAGTTTTGCAGGTTCTTCCACAACTCCCGCATGCCTCCCGACACGCAGCCGCTTGGGAGAGACAATACGAAACCGGGAAATTTTGGCACAATTGCCATCGGCAGCACAGCGCCGCTAGCCTACGACACACCATCGGGGTATCATTCGCTGCGCTTTTACCCTTGCCCGACCCTTGCCCGACAACCGGCAGCGATCCGTTCCGCCACACCACCACACGAAGTGGAACCGCTCGCTGTGTCCATCTGCTTCGCCGTATTCTCATACCTCTCAGTCCCTCTCCTTTACCCTACTTTCTCACGTTTCCGTCTCTCCGTCGGCCGGATCTATGATCTCCAGCGTAGAGAGAGAGGAATCGCTCTGCTAACAGTATCCATCCGACACACCCTGTCCTGCCATCACTCCAGATATCCGACGCATCGACAGCAAGGTGCAAGTCGCCTCGCAAACCACAAGCAGACCCTTCCTGCTCCTTTGCCCTCCAGCGTACATGCTCCCTTATTTCTTGGGCCCGGCCAAGACACCACAATACTTTTATGCCTTTGGTATCCTTCTCATGCCGGCCAACCTGCACCGGATCAGAAATCCGAGGGCATTTTCCATTTCAGACATCAATCCGAGGGCATTTTCATGCGAAGAGTGTCATCTGACACCAGGCTAGTCTGAATAACGCAGCCCAGCAATCATAAACTCAGGACTCAAAAGGAGCTGCACAACTGGTATCGTCGAATAGAACGCCCCGTCACTACAGCTGTATTGGGTGCACATTCCAGTCCACATATGGCCACAATTACCGGACGTTCTATTTTGGTGAAAACGGTATGGGCACCCGCTATTTCCGGGCCATACTGGATCAGACCCCACGTGCAGGCTCCAGTAAATTACTGATAACGACGACGCCTGATTCAGCTCGCCACCCATTCCCTTGACTTCTTCCCCGCCTTGCAAACTCATCCTTCCGGCGGCGCTCCCAACTCCTCAGATGTCTGACAAAGTTTCAACTCCAATGGTATGTCCGTCTTTTTGACAGGGCCGCGCCGCCTCTCTCTCTCTCTCTCTCTCTCTCTCTCTCTCTCTCTCCCCCCCCCCCCCCCCCCAATCAGCCGGATTCGTTCTGTTGCTTTCTCACCTCACAAGGACACGCAATTATAGATCCAAGCACCACGACTTTTCTTGGTTGCAAATCGGAAGAACAGTACTTACCGGTAGGTTTGGGCCATGGCCGAAGAGCGCCGGAGAGACGCTGCCGAACTGAAAATAAGTCTGCACCGGAGGTTGCCTGTTGTTTGGCACTTGATTGTCGGCTGCAAAACATTAGGAAGAGCCACACAGACGACAACACGCACAGTGTTAGCTCCCGTCCGCCAAGAGAGGAAGAGCCCCAACCGAGAAAAAATGTGCTGCTCATTACGTGCCATCACGTATGACGAAAGCCCCGCGTTACTGAGAGCAAAAGCCAAAGGAAACTACATACAGTAAATACATGCGACCAAGGTACAACACCTTAGTGCTGATTTCACCACAATGCCAACGTCCAGAGCAACAGAGACACGTCATCAACATCCAGCAAGCGGGTAGCAATTTGCGGAAAAGCTGAGTGTGCACTGCCGAGTATCAATATCAAAAGCTCCTGTGCGTAAACCCTGATGCACCTGCGACTACATTCCCCATCATCCGACGAAGGATTGGGCACTGCTACTGATATTCGCATCATTTGCCCTTCCGTTCGTCCTCTTCTCAAAAGCCGCTAATACATGAACCAGACGACTCACGCCTTATTTCAGCAAGTTACTAAATGAAACAGACCGCGACTCTTACTCTCATTGGTACTCCTCTCGCATATCTCCTCTCGCATATTAATACATGAACCAGACGACTCATCCCTTATACACAAGTCTTTCACGGCCGCAGCAGACAGACCACCTTTCCCAGTTTATACCGCGCGATCTTTACCGACCAGGCCTCGTCCTCCCCCACCCACCCTCAAATCCCCTGCGACCTCTTCTTTCGGGATGACCCATCTTGAACCTCCAAACCATCCAGAGGCGTAGTGCATGACATCAGCAACGACCTTGCAATCATTAGCCTGCCTCAACAGATGCTAAACAAAAAAAAAAAAAAAAAAAAAACGAATTACATACATCTGCTGCCGAAAATCAGATGAGCTTCTTTCCTTGTCTGACGTTTTCAGATGTGCAAGCGCACGTTTGCACATCGCTTACAAAAATCCACAAAGCATTTTGCAAATGCGCACACTTGGTAAATCTTGACGACCGTTCTCTCAGAGAACGCGGATCTGTATGCAGTACGGCCGCCACAAGTCGAGAGCTGCGCGAACAAATCAGTGAGCACACGCCCGCATGTACCCATCCCCTGCGCCCCTTCTCTGCGCCTCCATCCATGTCGAGCAAACGAGTCAGGTCATCATTGCCCGGCTATATCGGCAGAGACGGCGGGACAGAAACCAACACTGCACCCAGAAGCCAAGGGCAGGCACTGCACGCAGACGATCCGAGAACGATGTACCCTTCGCCCCGTACGACCACAGCTGATCCGCCGCACAACAGGTGCCACCGACAAACTACTCGGTCATTTTGCAGGTCATTTTGCTACTACATGTCCCATTCTCGACATCTTCTCTCCGCTCAGTTCAGTGAACAACTCAAATCTCAACACAACCTCGAGAGGAAGCGGGCAATCGAAACCTGAGAAAGCGCAGGATATGTTTCCTGCACTCTCTGGATATGTTGCTAGACCTGAGAATGCAGAAAGCGCAGGAAACATATCCAGAGAGCGCAGGAAACATATCCTGGTCGCCCTGCTGGGCAGCTCATGCTCCCAAACAGTTCTGTCACACGACAGAAAGCGCAGGAAACATATCCAGAGAAAGAAGAACAGAGAATGCAAAAGCAACTTACACACTGACGGAGAAGCCGGCGGCGCAGCCGATATCGCTGGGTGGGTCGCACTTGAAGGCAACGGAGTTGGCGGAGATGCCACCGTTCCCGCCGCTGTTGCTGCCGCCGGTGTCGGTGCAGGCGGGCGCCCGACAGCACCTGCGCCCCCAGGCCCACCTCCAACCATGGTCCCAGCTCCCTTCCCTCTACCTTCCCCTCCTACTCCTCCGCCCCCTCGCCCACTCCCACTCGTAGTCGCCGGTGACGGCGGGCCCGGAGGGCGACCAGGAACTGGTCCAGAGCCCGGCGCGGGGCCGCGGACAGGCCCAGGCCCCCCTACAGCCATATTGCTCGCCACTCCGCTAGGACCCCCAACCACCCCCCCTCTCATCGCTGCCCCCCCCTGTCCAAGAAACCCCGTCTGAGCGTGTTGATGTAGATCTCCGGACGCAGCTCCTTGTCGTGGCCCCCCTGCAAGGCACGACACACCCACACACAGACCAAGCAATGAGTGGCGTCGTTTCCTTGAGAGGGTCCGCAGTGTCCAGACAACGCAAGAAGAGAGCACGGCCAATGGAGACGAGAGACCTCACGATACCTCAGACAACAGACTATCAATTCTCCAAAACCTTTGATCGCGTCAATTTCCACTGATAGGGCAGTTAAGTGGTCAGTTCATTGACTAGATGATTGGCAAATTCGTTGACTACATCTAATAGATGATTTATGCTGCATTAGATCGGTTGATCCCGTGGATTGATGGGCGCACGCACAGATCTCTCTCTCTCTCTCTCTCTCTCTCTCTCTCTCTCTCTCTGTGTGTGTGTGTGTGTTGTGTGTGTGGATATATAATGCGTGCGAGAGAGGCTCTCGATCCCACAATTCCCTCTATTATCATTGATTAGATCATAGATCATCATCTGGAGGCAGCAGGTCGAGCATGAAAGTTATAAAATACCTTGCTGCACTGGCAGTGGCTCGCGAGGAGATGGCGGCCGGGCATTGAAACCTTTGTTAAAAATCCCTCCTCCTCCTCCGCCCCCCTCTTGCGGAAGCCCCACACTCTGGCTGCCCCGATACCCACGAGGAGGTCCATTTGCGCCCCTTCCCCTGTGTTATCAAATGCACACCACGTGAGAACATTTGACAAGCATAACAACATGCAGCCACACGTGGATTAGCCAGAGCATTACAAACATTCCAACACGCAAACCCTCCCCTTATCCAGGTACAATTCCTGCTGCAAGAACTTAGTTTATTTCTTTCAAGGCAGGGAGAATACAAGACAATCAGGAAAGTCTTCACATACCTGTACTCCCTCCCATCACAATTCCGGAAGTCCATAGGACGTGCCCACATTGCCTATCAAACAGACCTCCAATAGCCGACATTACCTACCCGATTGTCCAGCGAAACGTCCGTATCCCTTCCTTCGGGTAACACAAGGGTTGTACTATTCCGACGTCTCGACCAAACCCAAACAGTCAGGATATCTGCGGCCACGCCTTGCCCAGACAACAACCTAAGGGTAACGCCACCCGCGTGCCACAGGACCTCCACATATAGAGAGAGGTCAGACTCCTCACTAGGGATTGACCAGAACAATGGGAAACCGTCCGAACAAGCCGTCAGTGAACAGGCATAGCGGAAAAGGCAGACAGAAGACCGTCGGAGACAGAAGACAGAATCAGAAAAACTTTAATGGAGGGAAGCAAGCCGGAAAGGGAAGGAGGCAGGACAGGGCACGGGAACCGGGGAGGGTGGCGCGCAAGTCAGGGAAGCGGGGTTCAATACGTGACCGGACAAAAGGGGTGAGGAAGGAGGGGAGTCGACAAGGGCAAGAGGCTCGAGAGCCAGGAGCGGAGGTGGAGGACCGAACGGAGTCGCCGAGATGGGCAAGAGAGCAAGAGCAAAGGAAGGCGGAAGGGCCCAGAAAAGGACGGGGCAAACGAGAAAGGGACGATGGGAGGTTACAACGGGAGGACAGGGAGGGAGAAGACGAGGAGTGGACGACAGCAGGAGACGACAACACGAAGGGATGACAGGAGGGGGCGATAGGCAGAGGTCGGGAGACAAAAGGCGGAGGGGAGAAGACCACAGGCGAACGGGAAGGTGCGGCTAGATGAGGGGAAGGACGGCAAGCGGAGGGGGGATGGAAGACGGAGAGGAAGGCACGGCAAGATGAGAGGAAAGGACGGCAAGAGAAGGAAAAGGACGGCAAGACGAGAGGAAGGGAGGGGAAGAGAAGGACGGCAAGACGAGGACGGGAGGGGAAGAGGAGGGGACAAGTGCCGGGGGGCACGCAAGGAGGGGGCGAGGCGAGAGGATTAAAGGCGGAGGGGGCGAGGGGCAGAGGGACGAGAGTGGGTCGCATTGAGACGCGGAAGGCAGGGGAGGCGAAAGCGGACGGGAAGCGGATGGCGAAGGGAACCGGAGACACAGGGGATGGGAGTGCGAAGGGGTTGGGGTTGCGAAGGGGTTGGGAGCGCGAAGGGAACCGGAGACACAGGGGATGGGATTGCGAAGGGGTTGGGAGGGCGGAAAAGACGGGAGAGAAGAAAGAACGGGAGACCAAAGAGAGAGAGGAGGGAGGCAAAAACCAGAGAGGAGAGGCGGAGAGAAACAAGAAAAGGCAGGCCGCACGAAGAAATGCAAGAGGCGTTGAAGAAGGCGAGAGGGGAAGCAGCGAGACGACGTAGAGGAGAACAAATCGGTCGGGAGGGACCAAGATGGGTGTGACGGGGAACGGATGAAACAGGCGAGGGTGCGACAGGGGAAGGGCACGAGACGCAGCGCGAAAGGGGAAATGCGAAAGAGGAAAGGGCGAAAGCGGAGAACGAGGACGAGAGAGGAAAGGAAGTGGGAAGGACGAGAAGAGAGGGGGGGGGAAGGGGAAAGGGTGAGAAAGGGAAAAGCGGAGGGAGGAAACGATGAAGAGTGACTCGGAGCGAGGAGACGAGGGGTGATAGAAAGACAAGAGGATGGGTGACTAGACAGAGAGAGACGAGAGGAGGGAAGGAGAGGCGGAGGAGACGAGAGGGACATAGAAGGAGAAGGACTCCAGCGGGGAGGAGAGTGGAGCGGGATGGAGAAGGCGAGGCAGTAAAGGAGACGGGAGCAATTGGGAAGAGGATATGACCATTAAACAAAATTGGCACGTGAGAAGATACAGGAGAACCAAAGAGAAGGGAAGCACATGAGCGTGCGAGAATGTCGATAGCAGAAGAGATGGGAGTTGAGAAGAGCGAAACGAGAAGGCGAGGGGATTACACGAGAGGGTGGAAGGAGGTGAGAAGGGAAGTGAAAAGATTTCAAAAGGAAACGAAAAGGGAAGAGAGAGAGGAAACATGGGAAGTTTAGACGTGAGAGAGAAGGAACGTTAAAAGAAGAAAGAAGAATACAACGAGATATGAAGAAAGTGAGGGGTGTATAAAACGCGAGGGTAGAACTGCACCAGCCGGAAACAGGAAAAGGCCAGGCATCAAGAAGAAAAAGGGCGAGAATGGCAAGGATGCAAATGTCGCAAGGAGCGACACTGGGATAACAAGGATGCAGGAGCGACATGGGGATAACAGGGATGCGGGAAGCGGAAAAAGGAGGTCAGGACAGCAAAACATAAAAAGAATGGGCCGGAGAAAAGTGCAGGAAAAGGGGCTACTGTGGACAAAGGCGGCGCGAAGAGAAAGGTTGAGGAGAAGAACAGAGGAGAGGGGTTAAAACAGGGCAGAAAGCACGCAAGGAAGGCAGCATAATAAAGGAAAAGGGGAGGCGAGAACGATACAAGATAGAGGACGGTCGACAGGCAGAAGTGCAGTACCGAAACATGGACATAACTAGATAAGAAGGAATCAAGACGGACATAAGGGACTGTAGGCAGAAGAGATATAAAGATTTGAAGGACACGGAGAACGGAGATGCCAAGATGCAACAGGAGGGGATGTGAACGTGGGAACCGGAAGCACAACCAGGTCAGGACAATTGGGGTTTGGCCATTACGGAAAAAAAGCGGAAGAACAAAAAGGACCAGTGGAAACAAGACAAGACACTGGAGCATACGTCATGGGAACTTCGGGACGGTAGAACCCCGAGGGTAAGAGCATGACGATTGGGAGCACTGAAGACAAGACCATCGCGCTGAGGAATGTCGGGCCAGGAGCACTGCGGGTTGGAGCCAACAGGGAGGAACGCGTGGAATAAGAACACGTGGGGTGCGAATAATGGAAAATAGAACCCTGTGCGTTGGGCCCTCGGAGCATGGGGCGTAGCAACAGGATGTGAAACTCGTATAACAGGGCTTGGAACATCGGTCGGGAAGGGACATGGGAGAGGGGGGAACGAGAGGAGTCGAAATGAGCGCAAGCAGGGGCAGAGGGCGGCGGCGCAGGGGGCCAGGGGCCAGGGAACAGGAAGGGGTGAAGAAGCAAGGGGTTAGGACAAAGGGCGACATCCTAGGAGCCAATCAAGCAGGGCGTCGATGGAGCAAGACGGGTTGGACCACGCACTGGACCTGCGAGGGTTGGAACATAGAACGGTAAGAAAAACACACAGGAAGTTCGGAACATACACGAGTACGAGCTTGGCCCAAAGGAAGGAACATGATGTGTAATAACATCGCCGTCATGAACACCGCAGATAAGATCACGGCGGGCATGAACATCACGACATATAGATACGAAAGATGTGCGCGATAGGATCATTTCATGAGCAGGAAGATGAAAAGAATACGCTGGTAACGGGGAGGGGAAGGGGGTGAGACTCTTGGTTCAGAGGTGTAGATGAGAACGTGCGCATTCGGAAACAGGAGGAGATGCCAACGTGACGGGGTTAACCAATACGAGTTGATATCGGAACGGACGAAGTTGGGAACTGGTTGGATGAAAGCGTGGAAAGCGAGGAGATGGTGATAGGCGTGACATAGGTAGCAGAAGCAGCAGCTAAGACGGTCGCAATCACGGATAGCAGTAGTAATGAAGTGCGTGACAAATGGGAACGAAGACGGCGATAAGACTGGATGGTGAGAAAGAAAAACAAGCAGAAGCTTTCGGACAAATAGAGCTGCGGAGTACGAGCTGAGGGCAGAAAAAGAAAGTAAAGCCATGGAACTACCTGCCGCGAGAAGAAGCCGAAAAGGCGAAAGGTGACAATGAAGATCGCGACTCTGGCACCAACATAGACGCAATTGGGTTGCTCTTCTCGGGATTGCGAGGGAGAGGCAATTAAAACAGGTCCAAAGAACGACCTGAAGGAGAAGCACAAGTGAACATGAGGATGACGATGGCCATAACATGAAAGGCGCGGCAAATGAAAGATCAGATGCAGGGAACGAAACGGAAAAATGCAGATGATCTGTCCCTCGGAAATGAGGAAGATCGCCCGGCAACCCGCTTCGTCACGAACAAACCACGGGGACATCAGGAACGGGGGTTCCACGGCCGGAGGAATGGAGGGCAGGAAGCAAAGGCCGACGGTGAAGAAAGGAGAGAGCACAAACATGGCAAGAACAAGCGAAAGAGAGGCTGCAAGAAGATCAGCACCGAGATAGAAGAAGGGGCTTCAGGAGAAGGTGGAGAAACGATTATGGACAGGGTGGTAGGGACGGCGGCTAGAAAGGATCGCGACAACAGACAAGAATAGAACGCGGCTAAGAGGAATCGCGACGCCAGTCAAGGAACAGTGACGAGTCAAACGATGAAGATGATGCATATATATTGCCGAGAGATGTCCATCGCCACCCGCGAGGATAGGCGACCTTGCAAGGGTAGGGAGGATGGCCACAAACAAACCAATCGTATGGTCGATGATGATGATGGAGATTGATGTGGGGATAAAGGTTGAGATCGGGATGGCGATGATGGAAATAAGAATAGAGAAAACAAATTAGGTCGTAGAAGGTGAGGTGATGTTACCCCCGTCCGGAACCTTGAGAGCTGCGCGGACCTCCTCCGGGGTCAGCACCCCCCTTCGCGCCGCCAGCTGCCGCCCCTGGCCTTGAGAAGTTTGGATTACTGCCTCTACCTGCTTTCCTTATTTGCGCATCAGTCCTGTCTCGCTTGGATTGATGGGACATATATGGAGAGGAGATGGGTACTCAAGAGAAACTCGGAAGCCTGCCCCCTCCCGCAAGATCCGAGGGTTGCTCTGGGCAATTCCTCCTGCAATTGTCTTCGCATGTACCCTCCACTCTCACCAGCGCATGGAGAAGTAGGTGGTATGCACAGGCAAACACACACGTAAGCGTCACTACGCGCACGCGCAAACGCGCTCCCACCACACCCTACACAGACACACACGCGCGCACATGCAGGCAGGCACGCTCACGCACACACCCAAACACACGCACATGCACAGACAGGCAAACACACGCACGAGCACACACCCACAGAGAAACGCAGTCACGCAATAACGCAGACACAGACGAGCACGGAAGCAACCTTGCACGCGTCAACACACACCAACGCCCGCATGGCATGGCCAGCTCGATGCATGTGTACAGGATGGGGTACAACGCCGACACATATGCGCGCACGAACAAGCCGAAAGCATCAACACCCCACGCACCTCTCGCAATCGTAATTCCACCAGCTTCTTCCCCTCCCCCACGCACCTCCCTGCACACGTACACGTGGCTGACCCCACGCACCTTTCTCCACAGATACACGTCACACTCTCGTGATAGCTATAGATGCACGGGCAATCTCTCGTGATAGCTATAGATGCACGGGCAATCTTTTCAGATCGAATTGCTTCGTCCGGTATGCATGGAAAGACAAGCTCAGATGTTGTGTGCTCGCAAAACGCCGGACGCCTGAAAGCCGAACGGGGAAAAACCCTCGGCTACCAAACTGTCATCAAGCACGAGGTTTTTATATTCTGACCTGCTCAATTATACAACGTCCGACCTGCACGCCCGGAGAAAGGCCCGCCTACATGTAGATCGTGCATGGCCCGGCCGTTCCTCTGGCCCCGGGCTGTTTCTCCCTGCCTACCTATTTGCCCATTACATAGAAGAACCACGACGCTGGAAGCGCAGCGCTCAACCGAGAAAACCACGACCGTTTCCGTAATTACGTGCATCTCCCGTAATTACGTGCATCTCCCGTCAGACGGCTCTCGGCCTTTTCCTCAAAAGAAGATGGTCCTCACGGCCGATCCGATCGGTTCTCTCAATTTCTGTCTTCAACGAAGATTCGTTCCGCCACATTTTGCCCGCTCACCCGCCCCTTCCCCGCCGCCCCCAGGAAAGCCCCGGTTTGACCGTAGGGCCTCGAGTTGGAACGGAGTAAGAGTATCGCTGGACCTGGTACTGGACCTGGTAAAGGAATCATTGTCGACCCCGTGGGCACAAGGAACGCAGCCCTAAGGTAGCCAAAGCGATGGGACTAAGCGCATGCGCAAGAGAGAGAGAGAGAGAGGGACTAAGCACATGCGCAAGAGAGAGAGACAGAGAGAGAGAGAAACCTGGACGCTCGGTTTTTCTCAGTGGTAGGAGGGCAGCAGAATGTGGGTGTGGGGGGTCTAAAAGGAGTGGCATGCCCTTATGTTCAGCTCCACAAACCCCGGGCCTGGCTTGTCGAGCAACTGTTGGTAATGGTTATATCTTGGGGGGGGGGTCCCCCTCTGGGTTGTTCTTTTCCTCGTAAGCAAAACTGGGTAATGCTCTCAACGGTTTCATTTCCAGGTAGACTGTGAGGACTCTGTCCTTTTTCTCTTATTGAAAGTATATATTTTTTTTGCAAAGCCAAAAAAAAAAAACAAGAAAAAGAGAGAGAGAAATAGAGAGAGTGGGGGGCGCTGATGTATCCCCTTTCGGTGTACCCTTTGTGCTTCAAACACAGATGCTCGAAGCCATCATGCCATTGACTTACCGTGAGGGCACCGGTGCGCAGCCCGTAGTTCATTTGTTTATGTGGTTCGGGAAGGGTAAGGTATTGATTATGCTGTATGTATCTTTTTTCATGTTCGCTATACACAACTCGAAGAGTGTGTGTGTGTGGGGTGCCGGTTGGTGCTTTATTCACGATGTTCATGCTGGACCTAGTTTCCAGCAGGTGGCGCTCCCCATCAATAGACAAGAGAATGTAAATGTGTGTGTATGTGAGTGTGTGTATGTGTGTGTGTGTGTGTGTGTGTGTGTGTGTGTGTGTGTGTGTGTGTGTGTGTGTGTGAAAAAAAAAACGGGAAAACCCGCTTTTTCTCGTTTTTTTTTATACTTTTTTTCCTTTTTTTTTTTGGATTGATTGATTGATTGATTGATTGATTGATTGATTGGTGGGGGATGGGTCGCCCCCCCAACCCCCACCCAATCACACACATTCACAGACACACACACACACACACACACACACACACACACACTCACTTTCTTTCTCCCAAGTTACACGGGCGGGGACCCCGCGCAACTTCGGCAAGAGAAAGTGAGTGTGTGTGTGTGTGTGATTGGGTGGGGGTTGGGGGGGCGACCCCTCGCAAGTAAGAGTCTGTGTGTGTGTGTGTGTGTGTGTGTGTGTGTGTGTGTGTGTGTGTGTGTGTGTGTGTGTGTGTGTGGGAGGGGCGACCCATCCCCCACCAATCAATCAATCAATCAATCAATCAAAAAAAAAAAGAAAAAAAATCTATCTGCTTTCAGTCTGGTTTTGTTTTTGATTTTTTTAAAATAATTTTAATGCAAAAAAATAAAAATAAAAATATGGGGATGTAGAGAGCAAAAAAATCAACACCCCCATATTTTTTTATTTTTTTTTCACTTATGTTTTACCTGCAAAACAAAAATACGCGGGCCGAGTTGTACCACGTTCGACTCGGTTCAACGCGGAGTTGAAACGGGAGTTGAACGGGAGTTGAACCGTTCAACTAAAAACCATCGTTGAATCCCATTTCGGACACATAGCTGAGAAGACTCCAGGGAGACCCGCTGACGGAGCTACCAAGGCGGAACGTCGACGAGTCACTGAGCGAGCTCATGATTACCGGTGGCAGGAATCAGCCCTGCAAAAGTGAAAAAACAATGACGATAATATTAATGGGTCTACTTGGCTGACGGTTCCGCATCCTCTCGCTAGGTTCGATTGGACACCAGCTGCCCACGAAGAGGATGTGATCCATTTCGCGGTCAAACACACGGAAAAAGCTATAGAGAAAAACAAATGGTATTGGTCGGGGATTTGGGAGGATGTCAGATACATCGTCCAGAACTGCTCGGCCTGTGCGGCCGATAAGGCGCCAGTACATATGCCACGAACAATGGTACCGACCAGAGTAGAACGTCCCTTCCAACGGGTTAGCATCGATACGACGGATATCAACGTACCAAGAGGTCTCGTCGATCAGGGCGAGCTCAATGTCCTTTTAGTGGTTGTCGATCATTTCTCCAAATGGATCGAGGCCTATCCTATGACTAGCTGGAACTTGCAAGAAGTAGCCTGGTACATCAATTGTTTTATGTGCATGCACTTGGACGTAGCGGAGGTCCACATGGATAACGGGTCAGAATTCCAAGGGGAGGTAGAGCGACATCTTGTAAGGGTCGACGTTAAGATTTCGTACTCACCAGGGCACTGGCCACAGGCCAATGGTCGTAAAAAACGCCAACCGGATGATTGAGACTGCCCTTAGACGGAATATCACAGCAGGGGACACCAGGCCCTGGCCGGTCATAGTCGACCACATCTTGGTCGTCTATCGAACTACCCCACACGGCAGTACAGGGGTGTCCCCATTTCAGCTGAGAACCAATAACATCCCCCGGGTCCAGTTATCACCCCTAGTAGGTACAGAAGTTAGAGCGACTCGGGCTCAACACCGAGAAAAAAACCAACATTACATAGACCTGATGAATAGGACCTACCCCGCGTTAGCCTAAAGGCAACAGAGGGCCGTAGACCTAAGGCACCAACGACAGATCAAAGATTACGAGAACCGGCATGCATCCGCTAGACCGATGCCCCGCTATACGATCGGGGATTTAGTCCAGGTACGAAAATTTGTGCGCTCCTTCAAAATCCACCCTCACTATACTGACATTTACGAAGTGACGGAAGTTGGCGCACAGGGTCAGCACTCCGTGAGGCTGATCCCCCGGCACAGCACGCAAGCCCGACCCCTGACTCGCCACGCTGCTGCCCTTCGTCTGTTCCAGCCATCGCTGGGGCTCTCAGGCCCCGCCCCAACTTTTTCCCTCTGCTTCCTCGTCCTCCCTCGCTTGCTCTTCTTCCTCCCTCCAATCCACTTCGCCGTTTGAGGTCGAGAACTCGATCTCGCAGGATGAGCCAGCAGCAGCAGGGGAATGAGCCAGTTAAGCACTTTCAAGCGCCGATCACGGTGTCAAGCGGCCACAAGCAGTGCGCCGCCTGAAATCTACGGTTTTGGGATTTAGGCGCAAAGACGAGTCTAAGTTTTGACGGTACTCTGGTTAGACCAGGCAGTGGAAATTAGGGGAGCTCGGGGCGCCCTTGATTTTGGGCGCGCTGAACCTTACGGGTAACCCTCAAAGCTGTCTCTTATACACATCTAGATGTGTATAAGAGACAGGTGTGTGTGTGTGCCGATGTCTATGCATGATTTCTTCCCCTATGTAGGTCTAGAGTCTAGAGGGAGGAACGGGAAAAGTAGAGGGGGGGACAGACTGTCGAGAGATGGAAAGGGAATATCTCGCAATAGCGGCTGCTTGCTAGTGAGCGGAGAAAAGGCCTCGCTGCACTACTCTCGAAATGTGGAAAACGAGAGTGAATCTTCCCCTATAATATGAAAAGATGCACGACCATGGTTTTTGCCTTTTGTGCATGTCGAGAGTAGTGCAGCGAACCCCAAATAGAACGTTTTTTTTTCGTCCTTTGACGTCGTTGTTTTTTTCCTTTTCCGTCGTCGTTTTTGTCAGAGTTGAAGAAGGGCAAGGTGGCGTCATGATTGTGTTTCCTTGAACCGACTTAAGAAGGGAAATAGACTAAGGGCATCGCCACACCACTCTTGAAATGTGCAAAACGGGAATGGACTACTCGCTGAAACATGGCCAGATGCACCCGCCACATTTTTATCTTTTTCACATTTCGAGAGTGGTGTGGCGAGGCCGTTACAGAGTGAAGCGGAGACGCTGCCGCCAGAGGTGGATGGTGGTGGTTTCTCTGGTTCCGCAGCAACCCCTGAAAGAGGTAAGGTGGGTCGATTCAGTAGGATGTATTGTTGTGCTCCCGTGTTCGGATGTGGAGTGAAATTTAGCAACGAGTTTCTTCAGAAGTATC